ATCGCCTTTTATGCAATGACCGCTTGTATTTTTCTTTTTTTCTGGCTCTACATGTCGGCTATTATCAGTCAGTTGCCATAGCAACTGACTGATAACAGCTCCACTAAAATGTACGAAAATTATTCCCACACAAAGAACAGAATATTCAGTCCATTACAGTTTTATGTCTCCAGTCTTGACGTTTATTTTGCAATTATTAATAAATGATCATATGAACACAGCGGTGGTCGATACGTATCAACATATGCTACATTTCCTAACGATAGACTGAAGTAAATTATATAAATTTACCAAAGTGCAGCTTGTCAAAGCAATTACAAAATGTCCCTAAGGCAGATATGAAATGACAAGTCTGAAATGAAATGTCAGCTACAAAATGGCAAAGGGGTAAATTACCAACACAAGAGCTGCATGGTATTAAAAAATATATGCAATGATTAATATTATGGGAAAATGTTTGCAAAACAATCCTGGGTTACAATCCCGACTTTCTGCATGCAGTTTACATTTCTCCCATCATCCAAAAACATGCATGTTAGATTAACAAGCCTCACTAAATTCGTCATATTTACTAACCCAAAGTGTGTAAATCTGGAGTGAATGGAAACAAATCAACAGCTCCACTTAACTGTTATCCATGTTTCCTAAATATAAATGTTCTGCGGTTCAGCAGAACAATGCATTATTTTACAAAGTGTTTAAAATCATTCCGTCATTTTTATGTACAAAAAGAATCTCATGTTTTTCCACATTTAACAAAAGAAAATTTCCCTTTTAAAAATGCCTTAGAGTTTAACTAAATACTATGTCTCACAAAGAAACCGTAAAATTCAATCAGGACTTTTATTCCTTTTCATTTCCTAACACAGTCTCTATTAAAGTATGTATAAACATGTCAATGTTTTGTTTAGCCCTGCAGATCTCAGTTTATATTGCTGTACCAAAACTTGAACAATGCTTTTTTTTTTCCCCCAAACGAACAAAACAGAGCAACAAAACATTCAATAAACCCTAATTTATTGAAATGTCCAAGGGTTAGCAGATGTGACTAGCTGCAGCTAGCTGAGTAGTCATCATATCCTTGCGCCTCAATTCAACCGTTTACCAACAAAACGTATGGAAATTCATAAAACTCATCAATTCTGAGTCTTGCGTTAAATTTTGATTCTTTATTTTATTTTATTGGAAGACGTTGGAGCAGAGAGGAGCAAAGCCAAATCTTACAGATACTGAAGCTCAAAGAAGACGACAGGAAGTGTTAGGAGGATGATGGAGCGGTATGTTTAATGGCTTCTCATGTTAAACTGTGAAATTGAGGAGATCTTTTCCAATATTGACAAATTTCTGCTAAAATGCAGCTAAAATAAATGCATGTATGGACTGATTTGCACAGAAGTCCAAAAACATAACTAATTATTGTATTTTGTGACAATTAGTTGTCAAAAAATACAAAGCCTGAGACTCTACAGAAATGTTATGATGATGACATTGTGATGAATCACTTCCAAATGTCTGTGATCTTCAGGCATCCAGGTCTGGTGTGTGCATCCAATATTACATCAGCATACCAACAGTGAGCTCATCATACTTAAATTACAATTACTGCATCCACACACCTATTCTGGGATGATGATTGTGCACCCATAGAAAACACATCTAACGATTTTAATAACTTCTACCATTTTTTAAACACTGAACGCCAAGATGTCCATGAAAATGAAGGAAGAACCAGAGGGTAAAATCTGCCAGTGAATAGATAGAGTATAAGTGATTTACATTGTTTTAACATGTATATTATTGTGAAGGTGAATTATCAATTACATGTAGCGGTAACTCTGATGACTACAGGAGAGCTGCATGGATTTGGTAGGAAAAAACTACAAACAAAACAAACTGCAGCTTTGATTGTGTCTGAATGTGCCACACATTTCAAGCTGAGTCGGCAGCGTTAGGCTTTTTGCTACAGTGAGTCCACGTGACAGAGGAACGTGTTGAGTTATAATGAGCCCAGCAGTTCCCAAACGGGATTTATTCAGTTTGGGTTTGCAAGATTAAAAAGTTTGAGAACCTTTTTCCAGACTAATCAGGCAACTGTGACTAATCTAATCACACGAATGATCTCACTGCTCTCAGCGGCAAATCACACACAAATTCTGGATCTTTTTTATTATTATTATTATTTTGAAATTCACTTGTTTGATTCATCATGTCATACTTGAAACGTTCCTAGCATTGCATATCTGAGTCCCAGCTATACCCAGAAGCATCCTGGATGATTTGAAGGACGGTCGTGAGGCTTTGGGGCTCCACCAGCTGACATATGGGCCACAGGGTGTGATCTAGCAAGAGCGGCCATGCATCTGCTTTACATTTAATCACGTTCTGCTGGACAAGATGCTGCAGCCCTTCAAGCAAAGCTAACAGTTACACCCCAAAGAACAAGTGCAACATGGTTAATAATTTCTTACAAAATGAGGGAGTTGTTGTGCGCAGTATGCCACTCTGGCAAACGGATGCCCAGCTTTGAGCCTGATGAATTAATCGGCTCAAGAAGGAGGAGAGGGGACCTTGTGACCCCCCCCGTTATACCCGAGGCGAGGTGGGGGTTGGACACCAGCCTAAAACTGCTGCCAACACAACCTGAGATTAAAATTAAAACTAAGAGATAACATGCAACAGGCAGAGGGAAGGTTGGTGAAACTGAATAACTTGCACAAAAATTAGTTGTTGGTTGAATGTTTCCCAAATTCCTTACCAATCTAGTTTATTTGTGTAGCAAATTTCAGGAACAACATAAATACACAAAAAGTCATAAAACATCAAACTAGTAAACACTTCAATTAGTCAGATGTCATCAATTCACATCAAATATGTTGGTCCATTAAAAACCCAACTCTAAACAGGTGGGTTCATTTGGATTGAAAGAAACTCAGTGTTTCAGCAGTGTTGCGGTTTTCTGGAAGTTTCTTCCAGATTTGTGGTGCATACAAGCTGAATGCTGCTTCCTAGAAGACCTGAGATGTCTTCTAGGAAGACAACAGACGAAAACAAAGACGAAAACAACATAAAGCTGAGTATCACTAATTAGCTATTTCTTTTCCATTTCTGTTTATTTCCAGAGCTGATGTAGAAGTTGTGATAGGACAAAAACCTTCCTTGGTTTTTCTAAAGATAAGACAAAATATTTAATCAACTGTATGATTACTGAACCGAGGTTGTTTATTGTGTCTGTTAATTAATGTTAATAAAGAGAAATTCTCTAGAGAAACAAATAGACTTTTTCAGGTAACATCTCCAGGTGCATAGTTAACAATAGTTACCTCACTGATGCTGATTTACCAGCTTTGTCTCTACATTTAGCTTTTTGGGTAAGAAATTATGCTTCATGTGTCCATCATGGTCAGTAGAAAATCTACTGACAATGGTTCAACTGAGAGCCACCAATATTTCATACTGGTTTTGACAACTTAACAAAGGAAGTGTTTGTTACTCCAGTACAACTTATCCATCAGAAGAAGACAACTTACAAGAGGGAAGTAAAATATTTTGATATAATTGTTGAAAATTGTGATTTCAATTAAGATTACCCCCATTTTCTTTTACTTTTTACCAGAAAACAATGTCCCATGACAGCATTAGAGGCACAGAGTCCATCGAGCTGATACATTGAGTTCAACATTCCACTCAATACTACACACAAGACAGCCTCTGTGGTTATGATACTGTCTGATGTTGCAACGGCAGCTGTGATTAGATTCAAAGTAGTAATCTAAGATACTTTATAGAGGTAACAAAACTGGGGTAAAAACAAACACTGGAAATATGGTATGACAAGGTTTTCAGATGATAAATCAAATTAACTTTGATTTATTGAGCAAGTTATCTCTTTAATTCATACATAAACAACAAATAAGTACCAAAAGGTTTGATTACAGTTAGATATGATATGAGGAAACAAACTGACCTACAATCATGAGAAAGTTGAAATCATTTGTTTTTACCTTTAAACCTTTTGCTAGCATCCCCACCTACTGCTCGCTTGGTTCTCACTCTGTAATTCATGGGAGTACAACGCAAGTCCAGTAAGCCAGTTTCATTACAGCTCTGCTTCCTAACATGTTGCAGAGTCAAATTATTGCTGGCAGCTCCCATCAACCCAGCTGATGTGGTTTAAGGACAATGCATGGACGGGATGTCTCATCTTCCACAATTTGTCCTTTCAGCCGTCCCTACCCAGGTGTTAGCATTTACACACCAGCCATTTGGTAATACTTTAAGCTTTTATTTATTTACACAACGAGTCCTAAAACCCTGTCTTGGCCCGTCGGCCATTGCGATGCCACTGCAAACACAGACACTGGTCATTGTGTCAGAAATCTGACCTTATGTACAACTACTGTGATGAATACAAGGACAATTCATAGCAAAAGGTATTCGTAGTATCCTGGTAAACGCAGTTATGTACCTGCTAACTAGCTAGCTGGCAAAAATTTGTTAAATCAGTGCCGACTTTGACTCAACTACACGCATTTCTAACAATAAAACCAAAAAATGCGAAATAAAGCACTCATTTATATAATAAAAATGATGATGATTTTAGTGAACATAACTGTCAACTTTTGAGGGATAAGGCTGTTAGCTACTCCACAGATACAGTTGACGGCGGTAGGCAAGCTAGCAGCTAGCTACATGTATTTTATTTATTTCAATAAAATAGACAAAGCTGAAATGTAGATAATCAACTCTAATATATGTAGGTCGCTTCAGCAGCCCATATAGAGTTAACATCAAAGGTCCCACTATGAATAGTGTAAATCCGCCGGTTTTTCAATGGAGTCTGGCGGCGCTTCGTACGTTGAGGACTTTACCACCGAGTTAACCACGCTGCCCTCAAACACCACCTGACTTTATCTAACCCCCTCGGTGTCCGCCACTGGCAGCTTTATTCCCCCCACAGCAGAGGCCCCACAGGGCCGCGGCCTCTCCTACAGGTCTCCTACCTCTGTGGGCTGGCTGATCTCGAACAGGTCGAGCCGGTTGGCGTTCCAGTGGTTGATGATGTCGGCCAGTTTCCTCCTCTCCTCCTCCCTGCTCCCCGACATTGTGGACAGCGTTACGGAGCCTCAGTCAGCGTCCGTCCCGCTGGATAAAAATCTAAATAAAAAAAAAAAAACTTCCCGAAACGTTAGTCCACCGGAAAACCAACCGCCAGCGAAAACCAACCGCTCACGTCTTCCGATTTTTTGTATTTAATTATTTCCTCTACAGCCGGTACTTTGTATCCCAGCTCATCGACCGACCTGCCGTCTGATCCGTTGCTGCTTCGCGTTCGCGGTGCACCTCGGCGCGCTCCCGCTGAGTCCGGGAGCGCGCGCTGGCGCTTAACTATTTAATGCCCAATAATTCTGATTCATGACGCCGCCGCTTCCCGGGATGTTTACAGGGTTAACGGCAGGCACGTGAGCTACTAAACAGGATTACGTCATCGAGAGCGAGTTAAAGCGATATTTCCCCGGAGCATATTCATATTTAATTCAAGATTTCAATGGGCGTTACTTCTTTATATAAAATAAAAATTTATAAGAAATTGTATTGTATTTACAATGTTATAAAAAATATGTTTTTGAAAAATGTAAAAAACAGCTACAATTAAAGCTACTCCATACAAATTTCTATCAAATATGTGAACAAATGTGAGTAAAAACTGTACTAAAGTAAGAGTAGCACTGCTTCAAAAATATTTTTACTCAAGTAAAATTAAGTAGTGATCCAAAAAATTACTCTATCAAGAGCAAAAAAGGTAATGTAACTGAACAATTTATCAATCAATTAATATTTAAAAATTACATCATCAGATGGAGCAAATTATAAAGTTAAGTGGAATTTTTGGGATTAAATCATGCAAGTAACAAAATATAACAAAATCAGGCAAAAGAAAATGTTTCCAAATCAGTTTCTGTCAACAAAAAACTTATGAAATTTCAGCAAAAACTGCAGCTGTGTGTCGGTGAATCTTTGGTTAAAACATGTTTGTTTCTCATTTATTGGGTAGAATCCAGAAATTTTACTCAACTAAGAGCAGCTATACTTCATAATAAAATTAGAGAAGCAAAATGTAAAGCACACCGAGTTCCCTTGTTGCTGAAATGTGCTTTACAAATAAACTTAAACTTGACTGTCAGAGGGAATCCCATAGTGGAAATCTGCACTTTGTGATGTTACTGTAAAACAATTCAACTAAAGCGCTTTATCATCCTATGTCACTTATAATTAGGAAAATAAAACTGTTTAATTTAATTACAGCAGCAGAGGTGAGCGGTTTTGTTGTCATCCTGGAGCTACTTGCTAATTAGTGCTAGCTTACAGGTGCTAAATGCCATAAACAGCTGCTGAACCCCTCAGCCTCAAAATAGGAAGTATTATATTCTAGCTTTATTTTAGCTTCCTGCCAGTCTGAACTGAATATATAATTTGATATTTGTTGCCAGATTTATTTATGGGGGGGAAACTGCCTTTCTGTTGTAAAGAACTATACAAATAAACCCAAAAATAGCAAAAAATAAAAGAAGAAGTACTTCAATGTATTTTTCTCAAGTAAAATTAAAAAGTAGCAATCAAAGAAATGACTCAAGTAAAAGTAAAAAAGTTGGCAAAAAGTCACCTGATCAAATGATCAGTCATTTGATATTTAAAGATCACATAATCAGGACCAAAATATGAAGTTAATTTTAATGGTAAAAAAGACAATAATTCATACAAGTAGAAAACAACAACAAAGTCAGGCAAAAGAAAATAAAAATCAGTTTCCTTCAATAAAAAAACAAACTTTAAGAAAAACTGCAGGTGTGGGTCTTTTGAATATTCAGTAAAAACATGTTTGTTTTTCATTCAGTGGGTAGAAAATCCAGAAGTCAAGAGTAAAAATACTTCTTAATAAAATTACACAGGTAAAAGTAAAAAGTACAGCACAGTAAAAATATTCCTAACAGTACATCTTGTCAAAAAAAGTTACTCAAGTAAATTTAATTGAGGAAATGTCATTATTTATTAACCAAATTTGATACGACAGAAGTTACTGGACCAATTTATCGTCCAGCAAAATGCTGCAGTATCAGGCCTAATTGAGAAAAAACGCTGGTTTCCGGGGGGTTTGTGTTGTTATTATTATGTGTGACAGTTTGTTGCATTCATGCAAACAGCAGTTCTTTATTAACACTCCACTGTGAGTGTCTGAGAAAGGTCACCAAATATCATGCAGATCCCTGCGAAATGTCAGAAACAGAGAGATGATCACATCCATAAAAATAGCCGTGATACAGCAGAGGTTTGTCATGTGGGCCTCCCACCTCCTTCCCAGACGGGGAGCAGCGCTGCAGCAACAGCAGCAGCAGCAACAGCTTCCTATAAATACATTACTCACCGAGCCAGAATCAGAGAATCTGTGGGTGTTGCTGGTGTGATGGATGAGTCCTGCTGTTCACATCATGTGTGTGTAATGAGTAACAATGACTTTTGGCAAATCGTTTGATAACAAATCCAGGAAAATAATCTATTTTCATCTCAGCAAATACCTCTTATCTTGAACAGAGGATGACACAATGTGTGAATCTCAGTGATAGGAATATTTACTTTGCTCAAGTAACTAGTTTACGTAAGAGCAATACTATTATCTTTATTGTAGCTCATTTGTTTTCTGACCGTTTTCTTAAGCTACATCTGGAAGTAGCATTGTTTGGAAAATAATTCCCTATGGTTTTGAATTTCTGCTCCAACTTCTTTCCTTTTGGACAGTTGTCATGTTGCATAACCGTGGGAAGAAGGTGTTTTACAACTGGGAGCAGCTGGTTAGCATCTCAAATAATACCTGAAAGGAGGCTTCATAGATCCAGAGCAGAGAAAGAGGAAGTGATATCCCCTACTCCAACATCTCTGTGCCTAGCTTTCCAACTATAAAGCTAAACAGAGATTTAAAGAGGAGCAGCAAAAGCAGATGAAGTTGACTAGCATCAATTGCCAACAATTAAGAGTCAAACTAAGTTAAATTAATCTAATCTAAACTAAACTATGCCATGCTAGCTAAATTAAGATAATGTAAACTAATCTAAACTAAACATAGATAAACTAAGTTACAAAAGCTTATTTGCCAACAGTTAAAGGTGTAGAGGTAATCTAAGCTGAGATAAGCTAACTAAACTAAGCTAACACAAACTAATATAAACTAAACTATTCTAAATCTAACTAAAGTAAGCGGAGATAATTTACTCTTAACGAAAGTAAGATAATCTGACAGGCACTCTGTCTAGAATTAGCTCATTGCCAACAATTAAAGATGTTAAGCTAAGCTAATATCAACAAATGTAAAGCTATATAAACGAAACTAATCTAAGATAAACTAATCTAAACTAATCTAAAATAAGATCTGAGCTAAACCAGTCTAAATTAAGCAAAGATTAACTAAAGTGACAGGCACTCAGCCAAGAATTAGTTTATTCTGACATTAAGTTGTGGTTCTCTAACTAGAAAGAAGTTGTAACGTCGACAGAAATGATCTAAAAAGTATCTTGTTTTTTCATCTTGACTGATGTAAAGCTCTTACTCACTGTGAAGAAAGATTTGGGTCAAAAGGCAAGTAAATCTCTAGCTTTTCTCATCCATTTGAACCTTCATTTATGAATAAATGAACTGGTTGATGGATGGATGGACCTCTCTGCATGTGGAGGGGCTGACCCTCATTTAAAGACCATAATCATAGGACCGAAGCCAGCTATGCCACCCCCAAAAAACCAGAATAACTATCATTTGGGCTGGTTTGTGTTTTCCCAGTAATGGAGAACAATTACATGTTTCTGAAACTTGTTTTACTTTCAGAAGAGGCTGGTTTCATCCTCCACTGCTGTTCACTGAGCCGAACTGAACATATTAGTTCAGTTCGGCAGCAGCAGAAGTGAAAAACCACAACAGGAAACCAACTTTACCAGACAGACTTCAATACTTCCTGTATTTGCGACATTATCCTAGTCTCTGTTCACACCCACCTCTGCGGTTGCAGTGATTGTTTGAAAAATGCCCACCTAAACCAGTTCTTGTTGACTTTGTCTGTCAAGGTCTGATAAATGCAGAGAGATTGTCTACTTTGATCTCACTCTGTTTTCCATTTCACACAGTGGGAGATAAGAAACGTGGCCTGCAAAGCCTTCATGCTCTAATCCTCCCTAACAGTTATCAATTATTATGTCTCTTGACTGCGAACATAATAACCTTCTGTTATCTGTCACAAATGTAAACAATGATTTCCTCTCTTATATTCACCATTATAATCTTAAAAAACGTTCCAATATTTTTTTTTTAGAATAAAAACAAAACATACAAACAAATAAAAGCAAACAACAGATAATAATTTAAGAAGTTTAGTGAAAATCAATAATTTACATGTTTTAGTAGACTGTGTAGGAAAAAATTAAACGTTATGTTGGTGAATGTTAAATATGCTACTTAGACAATGTAGAGATTTGTCTTTACACAGTTTTAAAGGCAGATTAAATCACTTCCCATTTTAGTTTTAACATTAAATAAAACTTCCCCTCATTGTTAATTTTTCTACAGTTTGTCATGTAACATTACATGACAAACTGGTGGTCTTGAGATTTCTGAAATTAAATAAAAAGTGGAAATAAAGATAAAGAAAAAAACAATTAGAAAAGTCAATTATGTTACACAGAGCATAAAAATAAATGTAAATAAACAGAGAAACCAAAAGCTACATAACTTTAAAAATAAAATACAATTCAATAGAAAACAGTCCAAATGTAGTTGTTCAAACTGAAAGGGTCAGGTATCCTTAGAAGGTGGAAACTTAGTCTTGAAACAACAAAGTAGCTGTTAGCTTTGATCCTAGTAGCCGGTAGCTTAGCTCTGAGTGGCTATTGGTAGCTGTTACTTTAGCTCTAAATAGCTGTTAGCTTAAATTTAAGAAGCTATTTGTGTAAAAGGTGGTACTGTTACCTCACCATTAGCTGAGCTCTGAGTCGCTGTTTTTTTGGCTGAAGTAGCTTTCAACTTTACTCTGAGTAAATGCTAGTATGGAGCACAATAGCTATTAGCTGAATTCAAAGTAGCTGTAGGCTATCTGTCTTTTAGTTATGAGTAAGTTAACAATTTGTAGATGTTAACATGACCTAGAGTACCTGTTAGCCGATCTTTAAGTTACTAACTCTGAGTAGGTTTCAGTTCCAAGTAGCTTCCAGCTCAAATTTTGTAGCTGTCAGCTTTGCTCTAGGTAGCTGTTAGCTTATCTCATAGTCGCTTTAAGTTTAGTTTAGAGTGAATGTTAGTCAATGTTAGCAGATGTCTGTAAGACCAAGAATAGCAGCTGTCATTTTAATTATGAGTGGCTTTTTGCTCTAAGTAGCT